GAGCCATAGAACACTTACTGTAAAGCATTAGTACTGTCACACTGTTTTGGCACAGCAAATATTGGGTGCTGTGGGGATCGCTTTGCATATCAGAACAGACAATCATGCAAATTCATAATATTACTATACATAACTTATTCACAGCATAATTTTCTTAGAGAGTAAATTTGAAAACACTGCATAATAAATATGGGGCCTCTTCGTGCAGCTGACTATTCGTTGAATTCAATTTTATTATTTAAGCACCCAATATTGAGAAGCGTGAGCAAGAAGCCATTAAATGGTTTTGCGTAATTCGTGGTTTTTTTTGAGAGGGTTTGCAATCTGCTGGACCTATCTTCATCCTAATGCCACTAGCATGTTTGTGTATGCATGCTTACCACGTGCAGGAGTCCCTGGCTGACAAGCCCGACTTGGTGACGCACCAGTAGACGCTGCAGAATCTGTGTTTGATAATTGAAAAGCATTGTAGTATGTTAATATGTGTTAATTTTAAGCAGGTACACAATTTTCTTCAAGTAGTCCTTACACGTTGCTCGTCAAGGCATTGTCCTCTACATATATAGACGACTGTATACAAAACTAGTTCTACAGAGACACATGTAGACCAATTTACCATTTCCTAAAAATGCGCCCTGTGTATGTGACAAAGCGTCGGTGGCGTCACACTGTGTAGCACCTTCAAATAGAGAAAAAGAAAAGACATTTGCGGGTTAACACCAAAAGAGTAGAGGTCAAGAATCACCAAGAAAACGTTACTTCTCTAGTAAATTTTTCATGCATGTATTCATGCGCGAATACAGAGATCGCCATGCATTTTTATTAAAGGTAATACAGCAGCTTGGTGAGCGCTGCGAAAATTCCGGCGCTTGTGATATTCTAAATAGTAGGACTGTAAGGTGTTGGGTAAGCAACTGCTCTGATTAAAAAAAAAAGCCTGCTCACAACATGCCGTATTTTTGCGAGCGCCGATTGCGGCCGTTACCACGTGTACCCGCATGCTTTACAATTATCTGACCAGTCTTCATGCGGAGCTATCAAAGTTAGCATTCCGTGCAGAGTTTATTATCAGCGTCAAGTACGTCGCACTTACCGTTCAGATCGTTGCCGCTGTTTCTGAAAACGCCCAGCAACAGCCGACGCACAGCCGGTGTCAATTCCGCGTGCTCGTCCATACTTGCTACACAACTGCTGTTCGCGACTGCGTTAAAGTGTTCTACAAAGCTTTAACTGCGTGGTCGAAATGCGCGCCCTGCAGTGGCGGCCAAAGTTGCCAAGGAAACGAAGAGAGCGGAAAAATAAACTGTTTCCGGAACCGGTTTGCGTGACGTATGCATAATCAACTTCCGGGGCACCTCTCACGGAGCATTCTCGTGTTTCACTGGCAGAGGTGGCTTCGTGCGATCCGAGTGCTCGCTCCGGGATTTCGGCGGTCGCTCTGAATCTCCCAGTGAAAAACACCAATATAGCGTCACGCACCTGGCCCATAATTCACAAAAAATTTGCAAAGCCAGCTGAAAGCCGCTTCCCCTTCTATCGACAAATGACGGAAGCAGCTCAAAAAAACCGCTCGTCACAACCCTTCTGCCAGCTATTGGCTGATTTGAACATGGCGCGCTCTTTCGTTACAGGGATAGCCGCGGGAGGCCGCGACTTATCCATGCACGCGCGCGTCATCCCACTGAAACGCCGCGTAATCGAAGAAAAAAAGAAAGAAAAAGTGCTCAAGGTCACGAGGCGCGCGTGACGTTTTTCCTTCTTCGTGCCATCCCTCCCTGCTCAGCCTTCAGCGTTTTCGTCGGGACGAGAGCAGAAAGAATGCAATTGCAGCGTGCGACAAATCTTTGTAACTCCAATCGCGCTGGACAGATTCAAAATTTTGTGTGTGTGTGTGGTAGTGAATTCATGATGCAATGATTCCCATACAATGACTCCTTGTAAAAGGGTTACAGGACCCTTTAAATGCACAATTGTACTTCATGTAGTAGATGGGGTGATGACCGCCGCCGTATAGCTCAGTAGATAGGGCATCGGACGCGTTAATCGAATGTCGCTGGTTCGATCTCCATCAGCACAAGTTATCCTTTCGTTCACCTTACTATCTTCCCGCTTACGTGAAAACTATTGCTAAAAACATCCCCCCGTGTTTCTTCGCGATATCGCTCTGCGTTAGTCTTCGTTAATGTTGTATCTAACAAAGATAAACGAGCCGTTTGATTTCCGCTTGTTTTCTTTGAACTTAAAACCGTATAGTTAAAGGGGCACTAAACAGCAAAACGATTTTCAAAGTACAATTTGACAATGCCGAATACACCCCTCTTACCGCGACAAGACGCCTGGTAAGCTAGAAAACGCGCGAAAATAAAATGCGGGTGGAGACGCCCACCATGAGATTCCTGCACCAAACACCGTGACGTAGCAAATTCTGAAGGTGTTTCCTGGTACTTACGTTACTTCTACTCAATAAAAAAAAGGAAGTGCACTGTAACTTGTGGGCGCCTTAGACCTAGCATACAAAGTTTCGGCAAATTTTATCGAGCCAATGTCACGAAAGTACGAAAAAATTACATCTTAAAACTGGTTCTGTCACGCATGGAGGTTTCGGGGCGAAATTTGAAAATATGACTTTAACCTTGATTTTCACCGCTAATATTGAATATATGACAGTTAAACACATTCTCAGAGTGAAGTTAATCAATTTGAGTTAAACAGTTATCAGAGTGAAGTTAATCAATCTAAATCAAGTCATTCTTGCTTTTTAGTGTTCATATATAGAACAAGTCCGGTTAACTTTCCCTATACCTTCCTACGGTTTATTATGGGCTGGTATTAATTAAAGCTGCACCAAACGACTGTGGTAGGTATCTACGTCTTGCCCTTCATTATTACGTCCATGCTTTCATTGATACGTAGAGAACACCTCCTTCCCTCTTCCTCTGTCGATGCCGTTTCCGTACAGGCATCGCGTACAAAACACACACACCCTACCTTTGTTTTTTAGGCCCATTCGCCGCGCCGTTGCCAATACCAGGCCGCTTACACGGCTGTGTACTACGCTATGTGGGTCAAGGTTCCCAAGGTGACGGCCGCGAAAGGGCGAATGCCGATGATCGAAGGCAGAACACGCAGGCTTTCGTGACACGGCCGTGGTTTTTCGTGCCGCCCGCGACATGAAAGCGACTCGACGACGCGCGATCGAAAGGCACTGAGCTTCCCTGCACAATCCCGTATGATTGGCTACATGACTGGAGGTTTCGCTATTGGAGCGAGCACAAAGAAATGCGTAGGGAGAATGAGATGAGGAAGTAAGGAAAACGTGGACGAGAAAAGAGGGAAGTAAGAAAAACGGAATGAACAGACAGACAGACGCACACGCACACGCGCACACACACATACACACAAACATACAAACGCATACACATACACATACACATACACATAGATAGATAGATAGATAGATAGATAGATAGATAGATAGATAGATAGATAGATAGATAGATAAATAGATAGATAGATAAATAGATAAATAGATAAATAGATAGATAGATAGATAGATAGATAGATAGATAGATAGATAGATAGATAGATAGATAGATAGATAGATAGATAGATAGATAGATAGATAGATAGATAGATAGATAGATAGATATAGATAGATAGATCACAAGTAAAAAAAAGAGCCAATGAAAAATGGTGAACTCCAGAAAGATAGGAGGCGGAGGTGAATCTTTCATTCAAGCCAAGAGCTGCAAGACGCGTAGAGTTGTGTAATCCGTGAGGTATTTTTAATGTGACCCTATAACGTAGTTTGAGTGCAGTTTTGTTCATCAATCCTATCTCATATGACTAACAGTTCAGGCTTTCTGTTTTCCCCCATTCAATCGACCCTTCTGATATTCCCGCACTGCCGTCTGGCGTGTTTCGTAGTGGAGCGGAGCAATGCGTGGTGACCGAAACAGCATGAAACAAAAGCCTCGGAGATCAAAGCCTCGTGTGGTGAGCTCACCAAAACGTCTCTTAAATTTCCCGCTAAGATAACGGCGCATGCCCCATGGCACCACGAAAAAGACCATCTGGCGTCACTGTCCTGGTGTCTACTACGGCAAATAAGCACGTACGCCCGAGGTCTCTATCCAAAATCTTGAACTTTATTGACTACATATAGATAAGATGACCCTTTTATTGAAGTACCAATTGTGTAAAGCAAATCGGCTACTGATGTTTTTACTTTTGACACCACTATTTAGAGGTAAATATTATTCGCTACAAAGTGCGGCAAGCTCGAAATGAACTCTGACGATTACTTTCAGAACCGAAATCTTGAATCTCATCTAACTTTATTGGCTGCATGTAGATAAGATGACGCTTTTATTGAAGTATCAATTGTGCAAAGCGAATCGGATGCTGATGTTTTTACTTTTGACACCACTATTTATAGGTGAACACAATTCGCTACGAAGTCCGGTAAGCTCGGAAAGAACTCTAACGATTATTCTCAGAAACGCATCAGTCAAGCCTCACGTCCCAAACACAGCCATTGCATGAAGCCTTTATTCGCAAGAACTAATTTATAGAAACATTCATTCTCCCCGCGAACAATCACAGAGTGGAATTCATTGCCGTCTCTTTCACCCTTGCTACGCAGAAAGTTTTGATATTTCGTGTTTTGTGTCTGTTTATGTACATTCTTTCCTGCATGAACTACTGTAATGTCTGCAGCATTTTAGAAAATAAATTAAGTATATATAAAATAAAGTTGACGCAGCCCCGAAGCAGATAATACAATTCAGTACGCAACGAAGAAAACGGTCATTTCAGGTGATCGATGATCTCACATGTCCGCGCAGGCGCCAATAACACGTGCATTTTCAACATCTTGCACTTTGGGTCATCTTCATTCTGTCATTGTATTAGCTTCATACAAAATTATATATTTTATAAACTGATTGATTGGATCGACTGGAATACGATTCATTAGGTTCTCGTGAGTCGTCACTCACCCCGTGCGCACAGCTCATCTCCAGGTTGACCTCCACGCCATCCTACGTGCACCAACCTAGTCAGAGAAAGAAAGAAGGAAATAAATATTACACTCACATAGAACCAGCATTTGTCCATGCGCATTCCAAAAGCAAGATGCAGGCCAGCTACCAGCTTTCTCTCTGTCTCTCTCTCTGTCTCCACCTCTCTTTGCACACGCGCACACATACTCGTGCATTATATATATATATATATATATATATATATATATATATATATATATATATATATATATATATATATATATATATATATATATATATATATATATTATAAAGGAGATTTATTAAGCAGAAAGGTTGGTGCTTGGAAGGCTTGGAAGGCGATGCACCAGCCGCAATTTCCGAGCTCGAGCCGCTGCTGCACACTCGATGCTGCTGCCTCTGCCCGGAGTACTTCCTCTTCTTTACAATGGCCCCACGGAGAAAAAAAGGAGCCATCCTGGCGACTTAGTCCTGGGCAGGCGGCGTTGAACCGTGGTATTGCTTGAGCCTCTGGACGTGTACAACCTCGCGGTTGCGACGTCGTAAGTCTGATGGTGGCGTAAGAGGCTCAATGAGGTAGTTTACTGGCGAAGTTTGTTCGACAATACGATATGGCCCATCGTACTTTGGCAGAAGTTTGGAAGAGAGCCCTGGTGTGCGATGCGGCACTGACAGCCATACAAGAGAACCCGGAAGAAAAACGGGAGTTGAGGTCTGGGCATCATGAATTGCTTTTTGCCTGTTTTGGTCATCGCAGGTAAAGCGACGAGCTAACTGGCGGCATTCTTCTGCGTGTCTGGCGGCGTCCAAGATCGGTAGGCACTCGGACGCGTCTGGTCGATAGGGCAAAATGGTGTCAATGGTGTGGGAGGGGTGACGGCCGTAGAGGAGGTAAAAAGGGGAGAAGCCTGTTGTCGCTTGCGTTGCCGTATTATAGGCGTATGTAATGAATGGGAGAACTAAGTCCCAGTTAGAGTGGTCAGGCGTCACATACATATATAGCATGTCACCGAGAGTACGATTAAAGCGCTCGGTAGCCCCATTGGTTTGTGGGTGGTAAGCGGTACATGTGCGATGTACAATAGCACACTCAGCGAGCAATTTTTCAATGACCTCGGACAAGAAGGCGCGGCCGCGGTCACTGAGGAGTTCTTGAGGGCCTCCATGACGCAACACGAAATGACGCAGTAGGAAAGTGGCAACCTCCTGTGCTGTAGCCGTTTTGAGAGCAGCGGTCTCAGCATAGCGCGTTAGGTGGTCGATAGCAACTATTATCTACCTGTTGCCAGTCGGAGTCAATGGAAGTGGCCCATAAATATCTATTCCAACCCGTTCGAAGGGTCGGGAAGGGCATGGTAAAGGCTGCAGTTCACCGGCGGAGGCGTGTGGTGGAGATTTTCGGCGCTGACATTCGGCACAAGAGCGGACGAAGTTGCGAACGAAGGTATACATGCCACGCCAGTAGTAGCGATGTCGAAGCCTTTCGTAGGTCTTGAAGACTCCTGCGTGGCCACATTGTGGGTCAGCGTGAAAAGAGGAACAAATCTGCGACCTCAGGGTTCGTGGAACGACGAGCAGCCACTTGCGTCCCTCTGGTGCGTAGTTACGTCGATAGAGAAGCGTGTCACGTATCGAGAAGTGTGGAACTTGGCGCCGAAGCGTTCGCGTCTTTGGGGGTTCAGAAGTGTCGGAGAGATGATTGAGGAGAGACGCAGTCCACGGGTCATTGCGTTGTTCGATAGCAATGGTGTCAAAGTCAAGCGATGACAATGTGGAATCGCAAGCGGAGTCAGCTGTGGCATTCTGGGGCAGGGGGGATCGAGAAAGGGCGTCGGCGTCAGCATGCTTCCGTCCTGACCGATAAACCACGCGTATGTCGTAATCTTGAATTTTCAACGCCCAGCGAGCGAGGCGGCCAGATGGGTCTTTTAACGTCGAAAGCCAGCACAGCGCGTGGTGGTCGGTCACGACGTCAAAAGAACGACCATATAGATATGGGCGAAACTTTCCAAGGGCCCACACAATGGCCAAGCACTCCTTTTCTGTGACGCTGTAGTTGCTCTCAGCCTTGGTAAGTGTGCGACTAGCGTATGCCACGACGTATTCCTGATGTTCCGGTTTACGCTGTGCGAGCACAGCACCCAGGCCTACACCACTGGCGTCGGTGTGGATTTCAGTTGGAGCTTCAGGATCGAAATGGCGTAAAATGGGTGGCGTCGTAAGAAGCCGTCGCAGGGTGGTGAAAGCCTCGTCGCAGGCAGGGGACCACGATAAGAGGTCTTTACAGCTGCTGAGAAGTTGCGTGAGAGGTGATATAATAGACGCGAAGTTTCGGACGAATCGCCGGAAATATGAACACAAGCCGATGAAACTTCGAAGTTCTTTGATGGTGGCAGGTTTAGGAAACGCCGTAACAGCTCGCAATTTCTCGGGATCCGGGAGGATGCCTTCCTTGGAAACAACGTGGCCCAAAATGTTCAGTTGACGCATGGCAAATCGACATTTTTTGAGTACTTCCTCTTCTTTACAATATATATATATATATATATATATATATATATATATATATATATACATATAGAGAGAGAGAGAGAGAGAGAGAGAGAAATCAGGTTTTCGGTCGCCAACAGTGGACATACACAAAGTTTATTTTTTTCTCTGTTTTTTGCATTGCTAATGAAGGAGATTAAACGGTGTATGGTTAAAGAAGCCCGTCATTGAATCCCGTCAGGTTTCTTAGCAGTTTTTCAGACTGAGAGAAGTATTGGTTAAAAAAAATTATTGCCAGCAGACTTTAACACACCGCACACAAACACACTGTACTGTCAGGGGTGCCGATGGGACTAAAATGCCTCTTAAGTTCGTGCCCCTGAGACTCGCAACAGCTTCTCCCATTTCCTGAAACTTTCAGCAACACGCGCTGGCTGTGGTGGCGACAGCGCACGCACAGAAATGTAGTTGCGAAAGAAAAAAAAAAAACGCTCGCGAATTCACTTCCGCGAGATCCACATATTGTGCAAAAAAAAATGAGAACAGTATATATGCCTCGACTGAAAGTTTCTGCGTTGTCCTTAAAAGGAAACAAGAAACGACACAGTTGGGAAAAGTTTGCAGACCCGCACCTCGCAGAAGACTGCAGGTGACAGCATGCTCGTGAATCGTGACGTGAGTTGTGCTGTGCGTAAGAAACGATTCAAGGAAACAACTCGTTTTCATTTTTCTTGCTAACCCGTTTTCAAGTGGTTACTTGAGCGACGGCACAAACGAACTATAGCAGATAGAAGTACGTACATAAATTGTACGCTTGGGCGAAGCTGGTTTGACATACTTGTAAATGAAAACAGCGCGAACGACAGAGGGCAAATAAATACCAGTGAAAGACCGAGTATACGTTCATTCAAGCGTTCAACTATCGCACTGTACCGGAGACATTTTTTGTATGTCAGCACCGCACGAAAGAGCGAAGTTTCGAAGCATACTTTTGTCGGCGAGTGCTTTGTGGGCATGCACTTTTTTTTCGTTCCTTTTTGGAACTTAACTCGGTCATATGGCGAATGCACCCAGAAGAAAACTGCCGCTCGTGCACGGTATAGTTAATGACTTGGCTGACTGGAGGTGTAATAAAAATCCTTTTTTCTATCTTTTTTTCCCTGTCATGTGTATTTGGTGCTGTTTACAGTTCAAATACTAATGAAGTGTGTTTTCTGCGATCCGGCCGCGCGGAAAATATTCGCTCGTGTCATTTTTCGCTTCGTGTGCCACCGCCTGCAGTGGATCCGTTGAAATGCGCTTTCGAACGAAACTTTCGTGAAATCGCCTAGGATAGCGCGTAGGTGGGTATCGTTGCCTGTGCGTTATACCACTGAAATGATGCAAAAACAAAGAAAGAGAGTGTTGCAGGGAATTTTTTTTGCTTGACACAACCCGAATGAAAACCTCCAGATAATGAAGCGGAGAAAGACATATATAGGTAACGCTGATTGTACTATAACAGTGTGTTGTCGTGATTGCGATAATTTCTTATTCATACATCCTGAAGTTCGTTAGGGCTATGGCAAAAGTGGGTGCAAGTGTACAAAACATACAGAGATACGCAATAAGCAGAGATTGCAACATGTAGGAACTGATAAGTAGAAACAAGATTGAAACATGTAAAAAAAGCATACATCAACAACTCCGTATAAAAATTAGAAAATTAGTATAACAAACGATTTTTGGTACGTAATGAATTCCACTGTTCAATCATGCGATGAAAAAAATTGTTCGAAAGGGCTATCGTGTGCGTGCAAATGTATACTGTTTGAATCATGATAAGCTCTATAGTTGATGTTAGACATCACGCGTCAGAGATACATGAAAAAAAAAAGTAAAGCGGACAAGGACACTTCTCGCTGAAATGAACCGAAAATGCAACCATCAGATTATCTGCCAGATGCTTTTCACGATCTGAGAGCAATGGTCATCCCCTCGTTTACTCGTCGCGTGTTTATACAAAAAAAGAGCGAGTAAAAAGGGTGTCTTTTTGTCCCACAACAATAATCGTTATCTATATTGCGTTCCATCCTTGCGCCATCACCCGCGCCCTGTACATTCCGGTCACGATCGACATGCCAATTATCAGGGTTACATTGCATTCTCGATAGGAAAGTTGCCAGCGCCGAGTTTTCAAGAAAGGAAGCGCACGCAAGCCTGATGACGATTATTGTTGTGGGACAAAAATACACCCTTTTTACTCGATATTTTTTGACAGTGTATATAAACCAAGGGAGTGTCAGTCAGCGCCGCTCTTAGCCATGAGCGCGAGTGTTAAATTATTATTTTATTTTGCATGTTCACGTAGCTACAGTTCACGTAGCACGGCAGAGCGGACGGCTAACAGATAAGCCCTCCGACGTTATCAGAAGCTATCTGCCCATCTTCAGCCTTGCCTGGATTCGCGTTTATACTCACCTATACCCACACGTATTCCAAAGTTGGGTCGTTCGTACACTACTTCAAAATTTCTTGATCAGCGGTGCCAATTAAGTGAGAG